TATTCAACATAATATTGGAAGTCCTAGCCAGAGTAACCAGGAAAGACAATGAAATAAATGGTGTCCTAATTGGAGAGAAAGTGGTAACGTATTATTTGTAGGTGACATTATATATAGAAGACTCTAAAGACTCTGAGAAAATGTCAGAATAAACAAAATCAGAAAAACTGAAGGATACAAAATAAATATAAAAAAATCTACTGGAGTGCCTCCCAGCAGGTGGTTGAGCGCAGCGCTTTGAAGCTGTCCACAGCCTCTGCAGCGCAGATTCTATCCCGGCCGACAGGAGAGATACCCACACAGCACAGCAGACCTCTCCTGTCTCACCCGCTGCTCCCCTCAGCAGTGTATTTCAGTCAGTCTCCTGTTCTGTTCCCCTGTCTCTGGCGAATCCTCTCACCCTCCCACACATCTGGCCTGTACCCCGTTCTTATATGCATGAATAAATCAATCTTAAAAAAAATCTACTGGGTTTCTATACAAATTATCAGGAAGAAAAATTAAGAAAATAATCCCGTTACAATTGCATCAAAATAACGCTGGGGGCTGACTGCGGCTTTCCTCTCCTGTGGCATGGTAAGTGTTTGTGCAGGTTTGCTTAAAACCCTCTCTGTATAAATCATTTGTTAAGTTTTCTGTTGGGGAAGGGTCTCTAATTCCTTCTTCCTGTCAAACCTTCCTACCAAGATGGTATTTCCCTAGCCTAGCTCAATATGAGTAGGAGAGAATACTGCACCTGTCTGCTTTGATGCATTACAATGTTTGATACAACATTACTGACTGGAAAACAAGTCCCATTTATAGAAAGAAGAAAAAACATAGTAGTTCAAATTCCCATTGTGTACCTTAGATTTAAAAAAAAAATCATCTGTACTGACTTTTCACTTGGCTGTTGGCGGTTTCAAAGGATGGGCTATGTGTTTTCCTGTACCGATGGTGTGTCTTATTAAATACTTTTATACCATGAAAAAAAAAATAAAAAAAATAAAATATGTAGGAATAAATTCAACTAAGGATATGAAAGATCTGTACACTGAAAACTATGATAATAATGAAGAAAACAAAAAATAAATGAAAAGATATTCCAAGCTCAAGAATTGGAAGAACACTGTTAAAATGTCCATAACTATCCAAAGCAATCTACAGATTTAATATGATCGCTATCAAAATTCCCATGGCATTTTTCACATAAATAGTTCAATCAATTCTAAAATTTGTAAGGACACACAAAAGGCTCTGAATAGTCAAGGAATTCTTGACAAATAACAACAAAGTTGGAGATATTATGCTCACTAATTTAAAATTTCATCACAAAGCTACAATAATCAAAACAGTATTGGTATAAAAACAGACACATAGGTCAATGGAACAGAAGAGAGTCCAGAAAAATGGCCACACACTTATGATCAACTTATTTATGAGAAAGCAACCAAGGATATACAACAGGGAAATGATACTCTCTTAAATAATGTTGGAAAAACTAGAAAACTGGACAGTCACACCAAAAGAAAAAACTGGATTGCTATCTTATACACAAAAATTAGAATAAAAATCTGAATAAACATTTTTTCAAAAGGGATATACATATGGTCACATGTACATGCAAAGATACTGCACATCACTAATCATCTAGAAAATGCAAATCAAAACTATATCACCTCATATCTGTTAGAATTGGTATCATCAAAAAAGACAAGAAATAAGTGTTGGTGAGAATGTGGAGAAAAGGGAATACTTGTGCATTGTTGGTGGGAATGTAAATTAGTGCAGTCACTATGGAAAATAATATGGAGGTCTAATTAAAAACAGATCTATCAGCGATTCTACTTTTATGTATTTATCTGAAAACAAGCAAAAAAAGAAACTAGAAAAGACATATACACCTTCATATTCATTGCAGCATTATTTAAAATAGCCAAGATATGGAAACAACCTAAGTGTCCATCAATGGGTGAATGGATAAAGAAAATGTGATGTATATATGCAGCCATAAAAACATTATTATTCAGCCATAACAACATTTTACCAATTGTGACAATGATGAACCTTGACAGTACTATGTTCTGTGAAGTCAAATACAAGAAAAATACCATATGACTTCACGCATAATTGGAATCCAAAAAATAAACAAAAAAACCTCCAAGCTCTTAGATACAGAGAACAAATTGGTGGTTGCCAAAGTGGCAGTGTAGGTAGTGGATGAAATAGATGAAGGTGGCCCAAAAGTACAATTTTCAGTTATAAGTCATTGAAATACAACATACAGCAAGGTGACCAAACAATTGTTAATAATACTGCACTGCATATTTGAAAGTTGTTGAGAGTCATCTTAGAAGTTCTTGTTACAAGAAAAGCACTTTTTTTTAAAGATTTATTTATTTATGCACACAAGAGGTAGGGTGCAGGCCAGAGGTGTGGGGGGCGGGGTGAGAGGATTCACCAGAGACAGAGTAGGGAACAGAACAGGCAGGATGACTGAAATACACCGCTGAGGGGTGTAGTGGGCAAGACTGGAGAGGTCTGCTTCACCATGTGCATCACCTCCCTGGCCAAGAATCGAACTCATGCTGCAGTGGTTGCTAATAGCTTCATAGTGCTGATGCTTAACCCCTTGTGCCACCAGGGCCCAAGAAAAGCACTTTTTAAAACTATATTATGTCGATGGATGTTAACTAGACTCTTAGTGGAGATCATTTCACAATGTATACAAATATCAAATCATTATGTTGTACACCTGAAAGTAATATTAGATGTCAATTATACTTCAATTTAAAAAAAAGGTCCAGTACTCATCTCCAAACAAAGCAAAAAAAAGAAAGAAAGAAAAATGCCTCCCCAAACCAATTAGTCGAGCATGAAACCAGGGAAAGAAAGGAAGAAGGAAAGAAATGAGAATTCCAGAAGAGTCCAAGAATGTGCAAAACACCGAGCATACAATGTGTAGTTTGTGAGCTTTTACTGTTTATGCTCAGGTGACAGGCTGTCTTTTCCCTACCATACGGAAAAGCCTATATGGATACTAGCACTTCTCTAAACCCTTGCCAAAGACAAGTATCCAAGGCAGGAGTCTCCTCTTTACTTGTCAGTGGTAGCCTCCTCAGTTTGATTTCCCAGTTCCAGGACTCACATCTTCCTCTCAAGTGGCTAATGTTGATAAATCCTTATACTGTAAGATTTTACTCTATGACTTTGATAAGGACAATATACAATAAAACGCAAATTATGCATTTGATGGGAAATACTATGTTAGGTTGTCAACTTTCTGAAGACCTAAGATGACAGGGAAACTGGCTCTTATATCTTTAATTTAGGCATTAATTAATGGCATGAAATATGCAAACACTTTCTAAATTATAGCTCTCTTCATGGAACAAAAATCAAGTTAACTTCCACTCTCTGCAGATTAGAGTGCTAAAAAACTTAAAGTAATGTAATCTGAGGAACCTCCATACAACTTTCCATAGTGGTTGGACCAGTTTGCATTCCCATCAGCAAGGTAGAAGAGTTCCTTTTCACCATATCCTCGCCAACATCTGCTGTTGCTAGTTTTTTTAAATATGCGCCATATGATCTCATTGTGGTTTTGATTTGCATTTCCCTGATTATGAGGGATGTTGAACATTTTTTCATATGCCTGTTGGCCATTTGTATTTCCTCCTTCTAGGGATTTACCCAAAGAACACAAAAACATTAATTCAAGAGAATACCTGTACCCCCATGTTTATTACAGCACTGTTTATAATAGGTAAGACTTGGAAACAACCCAAATGCTCCAAAATAGATGACTGGATCAAGAAGATGTGGTATATATACACAGTGGAATACTATTCAGCAATCAAAAAAAGATACTCATGCCATTTGCAGCAACAAGGATGGAGCTAGAAGGGATTATACTCAGCGGAAATTAGTCAGAAGGAAAAAGCAAAATATCAGATGGTTTCACTTATAGGAGGAATATAGTAGAACTACATAAGGCATCAGGGAAAAAATAACAATAAAAAATACAACAAAACAAAAAAAAATAAATGGACAACTATGAATCAGAGACATTCTGAGGGGGAGAGAGATAAGGACGAGGGAGGGAAGAGCACAGGGGACTGTGGTGATGGTACACGGGTGAATTGGTGGTGGGAATTCTATGGGGACTACACCTGAGAAAAGAAAGTAAACAATGCAAAAAAAAAATGAACAATGTAAAATACATATAAATAATTAAAAATGGAAAAAAATCTAAAAAAATTACAGGTAATGTAAGAAAAGAAAATCATCAAAAGGGAAGCAAAGAGTTTCTAGAAATTTTTAAGAAACTTAAAAATAAGCAGTATACTGTTGTTTTCCCTGGGCTAATGTCATCACCCAAAGTAATAATGTGCCTAAATTCTAGAGACCCTATTTGCTATTTTCAAGTTGATCACTCAATAAATTTTTCCTTCCAAAAGAATTACATTAACAAGAACATAAAATAGAATATTTTCAGTAGCAATAATTTAAAATAAAGATTATTCCTTCAGCATGCATTCTCAATAGGTGCAAAATTGGTTCTTGGGGGGACAAGAAAAATGTTGCTGGTCATATATGTAAAGCACGAAAATATACACAGTCCATAAATGTACAGTATATGTGTGGTATTAAAATTTATGGGGCGATTAGACAAAAAAAAAAAAAAAAAAGAACCTAAAAAGTTCTTTACAGAGGAAAGAATAAAAAATTTGAGAAACAATGCTGTAGTGTTTGCCAAGTTGGGAATATCTTAATTACTTCCATTTAATGACAGTTCCAATTTTCTGGAAGAGAAAAATCATGACAATCCCATTTCTGCCCAAGGTACTTGTCAATGGCTCCGATTCTTTGGACTTTTTTCTCCTACCAGAAATCACTAAGATTGTTCAAGAGTAAAGAAAATTCTAGGATTAACTACAAAAAAATTTATGAATCAATTAAGTTTACAACACAGAGTACAAACAAGAAAGTAAATTTATTTAAATTACTAAAATAGCTTTTAAAGAAATTTACAGACAGGTTAGCTGTTACAATTATTTTTCCTGAAAGAGGTAAGTGAAATCAATTACTTTAAAATTATTTTGGTCAGTGAAACATTTACTAAAAACATTTGTTTCATCATACAATATATACGTTATAAAAGTCTTTTCAAAAACTCTTTAGAATCTTCTATAAATCAGATAACCTGACTCTGTGATAAGAACAAATTACAATAAGGGGTATAAATATATGAATACTGGTAGTCTCTAGTAGAAGGAAACTACACCACATTCTACTACCAGTGATGGGATCCTCAAAATAATGATACCAATGACGGGTTGTGGTACTCTATAAACAGTATTTTCACTTCCAAAAAAAAAGTGGATCTAGAATTTTAAGATTCTAAGAAAGCCAAAGTAATTGATAAATGAGAAAGCTTAGCTATATAGATGCAAAGTTACAACTGAAATACTAGAGTACAGTAATGTATACGCATACATTTTAACATTCTTCACATATGGTAATTTTCACTCTTTTTGGTTTGAGGTACTCTTAAATAAGATTTATCATGTGCATAGTAAATCAATCTATTATAAGAGCATTCAAACACACTCAGAAGTCCTTTTATTACTTTAGTCCTGTAAGCAAAAGTTGACTGCAACATATGAACATTCAGAAAATAAAATTTTCAGAAATGTTGATTAACATGGTTTACCAATTTCTGAAATTATTTTCTCAATTCAAACAAATGCTTCAGGTTATGTCCAAAACAACTGGATAACTGAAAAAAGCAAGTCTACTAAACCTTATGATATATATGCTTCAAAAGCATGCTCCTAAGAGGAAGGGCTAAACATTTTTTTTTAAAGAAAAAGGGCATGCAAAAAAACAAATCCCAACAGAAATCACTGAGAATGGAGTTCATATAACTATGTTTGATTGACTTAAGTCTCAGTGGCTGACTTTAATATTTCATCTCGTCACTTTAGCTCCCACTTTTCCCATGCCACAATTTCTCATTTTTTCCTTGCTTTCTTCTTCCCACCCTCTAAAAATAAAGGAAAAAACCCCCAAATATACACTCAGTTGAACTTGCATTACTTTTGCTCCTTTCAGCAGAAGCTGACTAACACCTAAAAGATGTGAAAAAGAACAAAATGGGAAAACCCATGGCTGCATTTAGGGAGCTGACTTACTAGTAACTCAACAAACTGAAAAATCTAAGTTATAAAATCGGGAAAATTCATTGGAAGGATCCTAAACCTTCCCATGGGTAGCAATAATGATGCAAACCAGAATCTGAACAGATCCTCTATGGGACTGCAAATAATTTATAGTTCTCAGATACCATTAACAGAGCTCTTAATGAACACAGGAAAATGATTCTTTCTCTAGTAACAGATAATTACATTGAATAAATGAGTTAGATGTCCTATGTTGACATAAGAACTTAGCTTCCTTTAAAAAGAAACCAGTTCTTTCAAATGAGCTCTGAGTCCATCTCTGGTTAGGAAATCTGAATATTCTTTCAACTTGGGATATGATTTTTTCTTCTGTCACCCCTTAAAAGCAGATGCCCCTCTTCAGGTCATGCTCAGGTTGTACAGGCAGAACTACATGAGAAATACGGCTCCAGAGCCCACTCAGTTTGTCCACGTCCATGTGATTGTAGGAGCTGGGTGTGTTAGAGTTGGTGAACTTGAATGTGAGGAAATCCTTCACTTTTTCTTCAATTTCCTTTAGACCTAGACTGGCTTCAAGTGTTTCTTCTTCCAACAGGACCGTCAGGACTAAGGCTACATCTTTGAAGGCTGCATGTTCATGGTCACAATACTTGTAGAAGATCAAGGTAGAGTCGGCAGGCAGTGACTCGATGCGGTGTACCACAGCTGCATTCTGGCCATTTCTGAATCCATTGCTCAGCTGCTCATCTACCTCGTGTTTGACAGTATCACTGTCTTCAGTAGCTTTGCCTTCCCCATTAATCCGGATGGCATGGCCACTATGGGAGGAAGAATAGGCATCAGCAATTTGTTCACTCAGACACCTAAGTACTTCTTCAGCATCTCGGGCAGCAGTAAGTAGCAAGATAGCAGGCTGGAGCCGAGGCTGGGAGCTATTAAGATGTTTCTCCAGGAATGTTAGGCTCCTTTTCCACAGCTTCTCATCTTGACCTTGATATTTATTCATAAGTTGTTTCATCTTGTTCTGGAACACTTGAACAGCAGTAGTTGTTCCTTCCTTAGGATAAATGAACCAAGAAATCCCAACAACAGCAAGCAGAAGTAATATCAACAACCACTTCATACTCAAAAAACTTGCATTCTTGGGTTGTCCAGCCACTTTTGCTGCGGAAAAAAGAGAATAACAGATAGAAGTATTATTTTCTTAGGTTTGAGGGCAACTGACCTTTAAAACCAATATTAATCTTTATAAACATTAGATAAAAGAGGAAAGAATTTAAAGAAGGGATGTGATAATTTACTTAATTTATATTTTCAAGAAAATCTCACACTCAAGGATTTTAAGTTCTGAGTATAAATATGAATATATATACATGTCCCTTAAACGTCAGAATGATAAAAAGTTTTAGAGAAAAAAGTAGAATTTAAAAATTGCATAAGCAACTAAGAATGAACACAATTTATAATACACAAGCATCATCACTACTACTGCTAATATTTGGGAGGTAAACAATATTAAGACACTTTATAAAATAATGTTTAATTTGGAAGAATTCAAATGCTTAACTACTAAAGGTGCATTTTTTGAAGTATATAAAAGGAAAAGGATGTATTATAAATGAAAATATTCCACACAATGTAATAGTACATCCCTTTAACTGTCCAGAATTCCTATCTTTTGTATTCAAGTTAACACTGGTAAAATTTAATTCCATCCATATTATCACTGACAATAATGATATCAATTTATATTTATCTGGTTATTTTCCATTTATCAAGCACTTTCTCTTATACCACTTCATTTAATAACATGACATTTAATGAACAGTAACAGTAATACTTTTATACCTTTTATTTACTGATTCCTTTATGCTAATAATTGTACTATAACCTCTCAGAATAGTAGTTCTTAAAGTGTGAGCAGGAATACTTTGGGACTCTTTCAGGGGTGTCCATGAGGTTAAAGCAATGCTCATAACACTAAGATGTTATTAGATTATTTCTAACACAGTGATATTTACACAGATGGTAAAAAATGCCATAGTGGGAAAAACAACTGATGCCTGGGCATGAACCACAGGGCAGTGGCACCAAACTTTACTAACACACAGTATAGTCCTTGTATTCTCCATGGTCATGTACTCAAGGTTAGTTTCACTTAAGAATATCCATGAAGCAGTTAAAACTATTTATATTATTAAAACTTAACCTCTGCATACAAATTTTAATACTCTATGTAAAGAAATAGGAAGTACTTGAAGGACTTCTGCAGCATAGGACAGTTCAATGGTTATCTTTTTTTTAAAAAAAGATTTATTTATTTTATACAAGAGCTGGAGTACAGGCCAGAGGCGTGGGAAGATGAGAGGATTCACCAGAGACAGAGAGGAGAACAGAACAAGCAGACGGTGGAAATACACTGCTGAGGAGAACAGCAGGCGAGACAGGAGAGGTGTGCTGCACCATGTGGGAATCTCCCTGGCCGGCCGGGAATCGAACCCTCACTACAGAGGCTGCTGACAGCTTCACAGTGCTGTGCTCAACCCACTGTGCCACCGGTGAGGCCCTCAATGGTTATCTTAGGAAGAGGTTCGTGCAACTGAACTGTGAATTGAAATAGTGTCTTTTCAAAGAATTTTTTACTTGACAGAACAAGTGACAAACTATGGTTGTTAGTCAGACCTGCATAGTTGGGGCAGACATTTACTTGAAAATGAACAAAGTAAACCTGCTACTAGGAAAACAACTGACAATATTTGTTGCAATTATAAAATTCAAACTTTCAAGTGAAAATTAGGACTGTGAAAACATTTTCTCTGCCACCATGACTTGGACAGTTCCAAACACTTGAATTTTTGGTCCTGAAATTGGTGGTGATATTAACATGTTTTCTTTTTAGAATGTATTACAGACATGTCAGCATTAGAGGATCCACGTATTGGTGAAGCAATAATTTCCAAATGACCAGGGTATGATACGTCATTCAAAGTATAAGAAATGAACTAATATAACAGAATGTAAAAACTTCATTAAAATGTATCAGTTCTCACATTTCAAATACATCTAAGAAACTACTCCTTGTTGATTTTTAGAGAACATCAAAAGGGAATATTTGAAGACTACTAAAATTCTACATATCTGTATAAAGCTGGGTTTTCTACAGCTACTATCACCAAAACAATATATTGTAACTGACTACAGAAGCAGATATAAGAATCCAGCTCCATTTTATTAAGTCATTCATTAAAATAATTAGGAAAAATTCAAACCCATTTGTTACTTCTACTAAATTATTTCAAAATGAGTATTAAAATTTTTTTCCTTTTTAATTTCTGGATAAATATGCACAGGTACAACCCATATTAAAGAAAAAAAAGTTCTTTGAAAGACATTAAGTTTGCTGTAGAAAGCAGTACAGAGATCAAAATGTCTGAGAATAGTTATTTTTTTAGTACTTGGTTTCAGGGTAATAAACAGGCTTAGAGAATGACAGAAATTTGTCCCAAGGTCATACAGAAGGTAAGTGGTTCAATCTAATTTAAATACAGATCTGTGGAGTCTAAAACTCACAGTAATCCTGTTATATCATGCTATGTGCCTTCTTTCTTTTGACTCAATAAAGTTCAGTAAGTTAATAATATTAGCAGCTTTATTACTTACTAACTTTTACTTTTGGTCTTACTGAAAAAGTGAAGGGGAAAACCAGAAGTCAGAAATGTTCCATAGATCGCTTCTCAATAGCTAAGCTTTGGAAACAACCCAAATGCCCAAAAATAGATGACTGGATCAAGAAGATGTGGTACATATATACCATGGAATATTACTCAGCATTCAAAAAAGATAAACACATGCAATTTGCAGCAACATGGATGGCGCTGGAAGGGATCATGCTCAGTGAAATAAGCCAAAAAGAAAAAGAAAAATACCGGATGGTCTCACTCATAGCAGGAATCTAGAAAACTTAAATAAGGGACCAGGAAAATGAATAACTATAAGAAAGTGAAAATCAAAATCAACAAAAAACTATGAACCAGAGACAATTTTTGGGGGGTGGGGGGGCGGGAGGGGAGGGATGGGGGTCAGAATGGGGGAGGTTGTAATTGTATGGGGGAATATAAAAATAAAATTTATTATTTAAAAAAAATAAAAATTAAAAAAAAGATAAAGTAAGTAGCATGTAGAAAAAAAAAAAAAGAAATGTTCCATAGAGTCTGTCCTTAAAAAATTTCACTGCTAGTAAAATATGCATTTCCCCCTGTAGTGCCTCAAATTCTTCAAATTTTTTGTTGTCAAAAAAATTAAAAGCAATTATGAATCACCAGTTTTAGAGACTTGCTTAATAAAAAGTGAACAAACTTACATTGGCTGGAGGTTGGTGGAGACTGATTGCCAACCTTTGATTTCTGTATGCTGTCATCTAATAGGAGAAATAAAGACTATCAATTAATATTACATAATTTAAGTATTCCCAATAGAGAAAGAAAATACAGATTCCACCAAAAGAAACTAAGCCAGAGACCCGCCAGAATCAGGAGAAAAGGCTGAAGATCCAAGTACCCATTAGACTGAAAGCTTCTTGAGATATAAACCTATTTTCTTTATAGTTATTCATCACATGTAGTGGTATAGACAAAGCATATTCTTAGTACATTGGTTTTGCAAGAAAGCCTTAAAGTATTTCACCCAAATTATTTAATGGGATTGATGAACATTTTGGGGACAAAGTTAAGAGGACAAAAGAAAACACAAATATAATAAAAAGAAACACATTATACCATCTGAAAAACTGTCATATATTGAACTCTTGCCTGGTGATGAGGCTGCAGAGAGGGGAAAAAAGACAAAATATGGATTATGAATTACTGAACTATCTGGAAAGGGTGATTTGATGTAAAAGGTCAACTTAATTCTCATTTTCTGCCTTAAACTGATTCAAATATTTCCTATGGTGCTTCTGATTATTAGAAATAACCATAAAATTTTAAAAAAATGTTATCTATAACGTGCCTGGAGTTTGATAATTTTGTATATATAAATGACCTTCCTGATGCTTATCAACAGTTTTTATTTGCAAAACAATGGACTAAACTAGAAGAATAAAATTAGCAGTGTCATTAAGATATAAAAAGTGCCTTACTTTTGGTCATATGACAAAAAGTCTCAAATAAAGCAAAATGACATCAACCTTAACTCTAAAGGCATATTGTTTTACAGTTACTAGCTTAGCCCAAAAAATGTCATCATATGAAGCATCTAAGTTGCCAAACTTAAAACTGTATTACTTATAAAAAAATTATGTAATATCTGTCTTGAATACCTAATTCAAGATAAAAATAATTTATTATGTGTTATCTATCTTGAATACCTAATTTCAAAGATCAAATGAAATAATATATGAAAATAATATGAACAGCAAACATATTATAAAAACAGCAAAATATTTATTATGTAACATACCATAATATTCCTAAATTCACAGCACATAATATTAAGAAATAATCTCATTTATACTAACATCAAAAAGAATAAAATACTTAATAAACTTCACCAAGCAGGTGAGATACTTGTGCACTGAAATCTATAAAACACCAATGAAAGAAATTAAAGCATGGGGCCTTCCTGGTGGCGCAAGGGATTAAGCACCACATTATGAAGCAATCCGCAGACTCTGCAATACCCGGCCGGCCAGGGAGCAATCCACATGGCAAAGCAGACTTCTCCTGTCTCGCCCGCTGTTCCCCTCAGCAGTGTATATTCAGTCAGTCTGCCTGTTCTGCTCCCCATTCTGTCTCGGGTGAATCCTCTCACCCCACCCTGGCCACATCTCTGGCCTATACACCAGCTCTTGTATGCATAAATCAATAAATCTTTTTTTTTTTTAAAAGAAAGAAATTAAAGCAAAGAATTAAAAAACAAAATCAAAGGAAAAAAAAAGAAAAAAGAATTGAAAAACAAAAAAGAAAGAAAAACAGACGAAAAAGCAAAAACTGAAAAGCAAAAAAAAAAAGACAAGAAAAAGCAGGCAGGGCCTCCCCCATTGGCATAGGGGTTGAGCGCTGGGCTGCGAAGCTGCCCGCAGCCTCTACAGCACTGGTTCCATCCCCGGCAGCCAGTGAGGGTCCCACAAGGCGCGGGGACCTCTCCTGCTGTGCCCGCTGCTCTCCTCAGCAGCGTCCTCTGTCAGTCTGCCTATTCTGTTCCCCGCTCTGGCTCTGGTAAATTCTTTCACCCTCCCACGCTTCTGACTGTACCCAGTGCTTGAATAAACAAATAAATCTTAAAAAAAAAAAGAAAGAAATTAAAGCTGGCAAAAATAAATAGAAAGGCATCCCATTTTCATGGATTATAGATTATTAAAAATGTCCACAATACCCAAATCAAGCTATAGATTCCGTGCAATCCCTATCAAAAGCCTAGTGGCATTTTTTACAGAAATAGAAAAACAATCCTAAATCCAGATGGAACCAAATAGTCCCCAAATAACCAAAGCAATTTTTAGCATGAAGAACAAGGCTAGAGGCAAAGTACTTCCCAATTTCCAAAGATATTACAAAGCTAGAGCAATAAAAATAGTATGATGGGCCTCCCTGGTGGCGCAAGGGGTTAAGACGCAACCTATGAAACTCTCCGCAGCCACTGCAGCACAAGTTTGATCCCTGGCCAGCCAGGGAGCATCCCACATGGCGCAGCAGACCTCTCCTGACTCACCTGCTGCTCCCCTCAGCAGTTTACGCTTCAGTCAAACTGACTGTTCTGTTTCCCACTCTGGCTCTAGTGAATCCTCTCACCCTCCACCCCTCTGGCCTGTACTTCAGTTCTTGTACACATAAATAAGTAAATCTTAAAAAAAAAAAAAAAAAAAGTATGGTACTGGTATAAAAACAGACAAACAGACCAAAAGAAGAGAACAGAGTTCAGAAATAAATTTGTGTAGAATTTAATTAACTGGTCTTCTATAAGGGTACTGAGAATAGACAATGGGGGAAAGGAAACACAATGGGGGAAAAGTTTTGTCAAATAAAAGGTGCTTGAAAAACTCAATAGCCATATGCAAAGGAATAAAATTGGATCCTTATCTTACACTGTAGACAAAAATCAACTCAAAATTCATTAAAGACTTAAATATAAGAACTGAAATCATGAAACTTCTAGAAAACATGGGAGAAAATATCTCTGGACATTAGTCTTGGCAATATTCGCTTGGATAAGATATCAAAAGAGGAGGCAACAAAAGCAGTAATAGTCGTGGGTTTAAACTAAAAACACAATGAAATATGTAATCCAAATAACAATGAACTATCACCTCATACCTGGTAAGATGGCTTTTATCAAAAAACACAAAAAAATGAGGTACATGGAAAGGATGTGGGTAAAAGAGATGTGGGAATATAAACTAGTGCAGTCGCTATGGAAAATGGTATGAAGGATTCTCATAAAACTATAAATGGAAATACCGTATGATCCATCAACCCCACCTTTGTGTATGTGTACATGTACACACATACACACCCCTCCAAATGAACTGAAATTAGGATCCTGAAGAGGTCTGCATTCCAGTGTTCAATGCAGCAATATTCACATAAGCCAAAACATGGAAGCAGCTGAAATATCCACTGACAGATGAATAAATAAAATGTGGCATACATAGACAGTAAAATATTATAATATATTTAAATATTCCTTAAAAAAGAAGGAAATCCTGGCATTTGTGATATGAAGCACTCTATGTTAAGAGAAATAAGCTAGACAGATGGACAAATAGTTGACCATATCACTAATATGAAGAATCTAAAATAGTCAATTTTTTAGAAGCAGAATGGTAGTACATGGGGTTGAGGAAGGAGGAAATGGGGGGAGGGGTGGGAAAACTGGTCAAACTGTACAATGTTTCAGTTATGCAAGAAGGATAAATCCTATCATCTACAGTATAGTCTCTGTACTATCTACTCTATTATATATCTGACAATTTGCTAAGTAGGTAGATCTTATGTTAAATGTTCTTATTACACATACAACAATAAAGAGGATATGAAAAAACTTTTGGAGGTGATTGATATGTTTATGGCATAGATTACAGCAGTTTCATTTCCAAACTTATCAAGTTATATACACTAAATGTATATTAATCATAACTCAATAAAGTTAAAAAAACCTTTTTTGACGATGTCTAAGAAGCAGAGCCTCCAGTGAAAGAGCAAGTGAAACAAGAAAAAAAATTCATCAAGAGGTTTACTTTGAATACCTGACTTTATCTAGTGAGATGTATAAAAATGCAGTTAAATGCTCTTCTATTATGATTTTAGAGAGAAAAAATTGTTGAGTAAGTTATCATGTAGCGCATATATATAATATTTACATATATCCTAGAGCACAAGCAAATTTAGCAGGGAATAAGTTGATAAGGCAGGGGATAGTCTAAAGGGTAATTTCTATTCCTCTTAGTAAGAGTATTAAAGACAGTAACAAAAATAGTTTTAAAAGATGAAGACCACGCTTTTCTAGTCTGAAGATTATGGTAACAATCAATCACTCTATACCAGAGCAGAGGGCAAGAATCTTTCATAGTTATTATCATTATCATCACACAAAACAGTATTCACAACAATGAAGTATTAATAATTTATGTGCTATTTACACTTAAAAATTTGTGTTCACTTATATAAGCTCACTCGAATAACCTAGTAAAAGGCTACTACTGTCTTTACTTTAATGGTTAGAAAATCAAGATTCACAAAGATTAATTGACTTTACTTAAATCACTCTATTATTAAGCAGAAGTGCTGGGTCAATGAACTTCCATTTTCTTTACATCATTTTTAGAGACAGGTTCCAAAGCATGTATATTAATGAGGCACAGACTCAAGAGTTTTGACCTTTCCATAGACATTCTTCCCTTACTCTGTTTTACTACCTGGGAAACAGGAAAAGTAAAGACAGAGGTTCTATTTTTCCCAAAAGATTAGGACACAGGTAGATTCTAGACCACCCAGGGAACTGGTGCTAACATGGAGTGACAACAAGAATTTAAAGTCCCAGGTTCTTGAACACCTAAATCTAAAAAAACGAACTTTTTCTCACCAAAGCAGGCAGAAATGCAGAGTTAAAACAGTGAGGTATGAAATTTGTAATGCTTTGAAGAAATTTAAATAAACTTGGATTGAAGCAGAATCTATGACAGAGACGTTTGAAATGCACTGTAATCTTCTACCTTTATTAATATATTCTCCCTGTTCATTGCTCTTAAAGTCCTTGTGTGGTTGAAGGTCTAAAAAATTGTTTTCTGCATTGTAAAGGTGAAAATTTTTGGTATATAGTTTCTATATAACTTTAAAGCCCAAGATAATACCTATATATGTGGTAGATGGCTATCTAGCAGTATATTACTATTTAAAACATAATTAAAATTAACTAAAGAACTTAAGAAAAAGTAGGAATGCAAACAGACACAATACCAAAAGTTAGCTACCAGTTCAGCAACTAAAAGATTCATTTCTACATTCCAATCACACGTTCAGTATGAATTTTCCCTTTTGCATTGCATATGCACAGTGTCTTGGAAGAGAAAACAAAAACCATACCTTTTTTTGGTGGTGGTGGGGGGATAACGAATGTGTACTACATTTCACTTACCTGAAAGTAAGTTAGCTGATGTAAATTACATAGAATATATAGCTAAGAACTAAGAAATAACATAAGAAGTCTCTGAGTTTTTCATAGTACACATATACTTAAATGCATGCAGTTTTACGTCTAAGAATATATTATATCTCAGATTTTCAAAATAAGTTTTAGTGTTTGATTCTGGTTAAAGATAATCTTAAAAAGCTATTAATATTTAGTTTCCTAATTACATTAGGTCAGGAAGAGCAAATTTTAAAAGGAGTGGTCTTCTAATAAGAGGTACATGAAAGAGTAAGAAAATGACAGTCAAAAATAAGGGAAAGACAAAAAGCTATCTCAGTTTTAGTCGGCAAAACTATTCACTTAAATGTATGGTAAAATTTCACTGCAGGGAAAAAAATGAATTGTGACCATTACTACTTTAGTGATGGAAAAACAAAGCCACAGAGGTTATCTTGTTTAATTACAATCAATCATTTCATGAGCAAGAAAGATATGAGGACTTTTATATAAGTTAAAGGAGATGATGAACTCAAGAGCTATTGTGATCAGATGAGTAAAGAAGGGATAGAGGTTAAGGGTTGCTTCAGGCATGACTTTTTTTTTTATAGAGTTAAGGTGTAGGCGGACATATTGTTAATATGGACATATTGCCACAGAAATTATGACAGACACTAAGTTCAAGGCATGATTGTTTCAACATACCTATTTATGGTATTTCTTAAATTCTATGACATTTAATTAATCCTAAGCCTAAGCATTAAAATACAATTTGTGAATTTCAGTCTTCATTATTTAAAATAATGGACATGCTAAGCTCCTCTAGGTGGTTAGTTATATAAATAGTCTGCTAAAAATAAAAATCACATACTGTCAGAAAAGTAAAATTTTTCATTATCATGTACAGACTGCACTCCTAGAATTGACAACTTGTCAACTGGATCCATCACCCACTGGCGCTCACTATCCACACTTTATACCCAGTCCAAGCAGATAGAAATTTCTAAACTCATAATCATGGCTGTCCTTTATTAAGAACTCACAATCTAAATGCCCACCTGAAGAACAAGTCACTTCTGTCTGTTAAATCATGAAAAATAGTAAACAGGTAAAATTTCAGTAATAGGTAGAGATTTATCACTTACTTTGCATTTTAGACCCCCATTTTGTGGTTTGTTCAACCCTTTTCTGAGAGTTTTTTGGATATCCTGAGAATGAACCAAATACAAACATCAAGATATCATTTCACATACTTTGAAAATATATCCCGTACTCCAGTATTATGACATAAATTTATCAGAAAGACGAAAACAAAGCTGGGGAAGGAAACAACCAAAGCAATAGGTTCAGAAGTAAAAGAGTATCAAATGATCATATCATAGAGGCTGACCAATTTTCACAGCAATATAGGAAGTAAATAAATACATAATCACCTAACAGACAAAACTATGTACAAGTACTTTGCTCTGATCTATGAGAATAACTAAGTTCAATAATACCTGAACTTGATTTCAGTATTATTTAAGATTAATTCTACTAAAATAGTCCTCTACACATTTCCATATCACACAGGAATTTTCACAGATATTATAAAAATGTGGTAGATTAAAAGGCAAAGAGGGTGAAATAAATTAAAATCCTACCAGAATTTTTAAAGACAGGGTTAGAACTGATTGAATAAAAAAAGACAACTAGCCACTTACTTAGCACTGACGGTTGTTCATCAAGAGATGTGAATTCTCCACCTGCAACAGAAACCAGAGATAAAGTCATAGAATACTTGGAAATAAAAACAATGAATATATTGCATAGACATTTTGCTAGTTGATTTGAGGATACACCCTCCCCCCTGATCAAATCTTACTTTCATCAGCCACCAAAATATGTATGTATTTTCCCCCTTTTCTAAGCATCGAAATGTTTAGGAATTGGATAAGAAGTCAGTTTTAGGATCAAGACCATCAAAATAAAGGTAAGCTAAGTGGTGGCCATATGAATATTCACTATACTCAAGTATCAAGTATAATTTTACTTAATTCTTATACTTTATGTAGTCATGGATACCACTATGATTAACAAATAAGGAAACTAAAATTGATAATTTACCCAAAATTACATATCTAATAAAAGTAGTTGAGCTGAGATATAAACCCTGGCAATATAATAGTATGTCCTATATAAGCAAACTTGTAGACATTTCAAAGTAGTTATAAAGATGCTACTTCATGTTTGGGGGTGGTATTTAAGATAACTGCAAAATGATACAATGGGATAATTAGAAAATGATGTTACAAATATAACAAATTTCTAAATCTGCTCTAAAGAAGTGAGTTGCTGGGCCTCCCTGGTGGCACAAAGGGTTAAGCTCGGTACTATGAAGCAAGCCCCAGCTTCTGCAGCATGAGTTCGATCTCTGGCCGGCCAGGGAACAACCCACACAGCGCAGCAGACCTCTCCTCTCCTGTCAGTCTGCCTGTTCTGTTCCCCACTGTCTCTGGTGAATCCTCTCACTCCCTGCATCTCTGGCCTGTACCCCAGCTCTTGTATGCATAAATAAATAAATTAAAAAAAAAAGTGAGTTGCTTCTACTCATTGATAGAAGTATTAATTAATGTAAATTTATTTTTAACATAAATTTTCTTAATACAAATGCAATATATACTATATGTAAAGAAAAAAAAAGTACCAGCCTAGAAATGAATAACTTAAAAATTCATAAATACCTGTAAGTGCCCACTGTATACAAAATGGTATGTGTAGGAATACCTTGGTGAATAAGATATATATTCTTGGTGAATAAGATAAATATTCTTCCAGATTCATTTTCAATTTATACTAACCAAATACTTTTTGTAGACACTTTTCTTTATATTGTTTTTCATGGATTCTAAAAAATACTTTTTTTTAAAAAAAGATTTTATTTATTTATACAAGAACTGGCATATAGGCCAGACGTGTGGGAAGGTGAGAGGATTCACCAGAGACAGAGCGGGGAACAGAACAGGCCTAATGACCGAAATGCACTGCTGAGGGGAGCAGCGGGCAAGACAGGAGAGGTCTGCCACACCATGTGGGTTTCTCTGCAGCCGGCAGGGATTGAACAGGCACTGCAGAGGCTGCGGACAGCTTCACAGCCCTGCGCTCAACAGCCTGCACCACCAGGGAGGCCCAGAAATACTTTTAAAAAAACACCTCTGATTTAGTACTGTATCTTATAATCAATTGTATGTCATAGTTTAACCAGATGTTTTTTCTTTCTTAGTGATACATAAAGTCAGTGGCTCTTAGAGTCAAGGAAATATACTTGATCACCTACTCATTAGTATACAAGGAATTAATTCACTTCATAAGGAATAGTATTCCACTGATTCAGTGTAGTGTAATTTATATAGAGACATACTTAAGAGCTTCCAAAAATCAAAGATTTAGACTCACAAAGGACAAACATATAAGATGATTCGGAAAGCAAATTTCCACTAATGATTTATTTTTATGGTACAGCAGCTTATTCATTTATGTTTCAAATTAAAGTCACAAACCCAGAACCAGCATAAAATATTTTATATACATATATTACGCGTATAAAGTGCTTTTCTATGTACACAGTGATTAAAAACTTTTTCTTTAAAAACAGTCCCAGTCCCATATTTTTTAAAAGGTGATGTGGATGCAAAAAAAAAAAAAGCCATGAAGACTTTGCAGACAGAGGTATCTTTCGTTGATTAATAATTAACTAAAATTCTTGAGATTTGACTTGGAAAAGAAAAAGGAAAAACAGCATTATTTCTGTTCAACCTAAGAAATACATAACGATAGTAGATAATCTGCAATGTACAAGGGAGAAAAGTAAAAGAAAAATGTCACCAATGATTCTACCATGCTGAACAAATCACTGTCAGCATTTTACTATATTACATTCTAGTCATTTTGTTATATTTTCTCAACATTTTTAAATGAAATTTATGAAGTTATAAACAAGACTGTAAGACTTTGATAATGAATACTCATAGGGCCACCACTTAGCTTACCATTAATTTCTCATTACAACTGGTTTATCTTCTGAAACAGAGCTGAAATCATACTGCATATAAAATATTATATCCTTAGTAGAATATGTGCATATAAATAAGCTCAAACTACTACGTCAGCTAATTCAACTAATAACAAATTTATACTGTTAGCAAGGACATTCAGCAGATCACAGAAAGGATTAATTTTTTTTTCAAATGCAGGGATGGATACAGAGATGATTAATTCAAGGAACAAATTCAAGACATAGGATAAGCTTTTTTAGGATTCACTATACCTTCCTTTCAACATTTATATTAAACATCAAAAGAGGATCATTAAAAATTCGAGCATACCTGACCATCTGTACAGATAGCCTTTTAACAGTGTAAAACATACATAGCTTTACTACTTACTTTGTGATGACCACCAAGATAATTCTGAATATTGACTTGATGATCTGGAGGTTTGATCTAAAAAACAAATAAGAAATACAGCACACTATAATGCATATTTAACTTTTAAAACGCACATTTTGCAACAGAAAAATGCATACTCAAAAGAGCAAAAAATATTCAAATAAACCTCAAGGAATTCAACACTTGGGTGTATAATTTTTCAAAAGTTTCTAAAGAGTCATGTTATATCTAAAATTAAGTCTTTCCCCTAACTACTTGATGAAGAAAAAAATAAATATAATGTAGAACATAGCATGAGGTTAAGGGAGACAATGAAAGCTCTGATTTGTGGGGAATTTTAGAAGTTTACCATAATGGATCTTTTTGAAATCATTAATATCCATTTTTGCCTTAACTTTTCCTTGCAAACAGTCAATAAATTATTTAATTTACTATTCCTAAAACCTTTTTTTTTCATTTTTATATGCTCTTTCAAAAGTGATCAAATATCTCTTTCTAACATGGTAATTTAAATGAATGAAATTAAAAAAATGTTAAATTCTACTATTTCTTCCTGCCTTCCAATGAATTGTCTTGTACCTCTTTGGTGGTAACTGATCATGAAGATAATCTAGGAAGATCAGTATTTTTCTTTATATGACTCACTTTTTTTGTTCTTTAGCTAAACTATTCTTCTGCGTATGGGTCTACATGCTTCAGCAAGGTCACAAGATTTCTAAAGAGTCAAATGGTTTATGTAGTTCCAAAGAGCTACATGCTAGTAGCGATAGCATAAAACTACACATCATATGAATGGCTTAATTAATCTCCAGTTTTTAGAGCTTTATGTATACATATATGAAATCTAGTCAAATTTGAGTGCTTACTATTTGTCATTACTCTCTAAATACTATGCATACATGAATTAATTTAAAGAAACTGAGGATACAGAAGTGAAACAGGGCCTCCCTGGTGGCATAAGGGGCTAAGATGCAACCTATGAAGCTGTCTGCAGCCACTGCAGCATGAGTTTGATCCCTGGCCAGGGAGCTACCCACATGGTGCGGCAGACCTCTCCTGACTCACCCACTGCTCCCCTCAGCAGTATATTTCGGTCAATCTGCCTGTTCTGTTCCCCACTCTGTCTCTGGTGAATCCTCTTACCCCCCTCAATACCTCTGGCCTGTACCCCAGTTCTTGTATGCATAAATAAATAAATCTCAGGGCCTCCCCCGTGGCACAGTGATTGAGCGCTGGGTTGCGAAGCTGCCCGCAGCCTCTGCAGTGCCGGTTCGATCCCCGGCTGCTCCCCGGCCACCGGAGGAGGGTCCCACATGGCGCGCAGACCTCTCCTGCCGCCCGCTGCTCCTCTCAGCAGTGTACTTCAGTCTGCCTGCTCTGCTCCCCGCTCTGGCTCTGGTGAATTCTCTCACCCTCCCGCGCTTCTGACTGTGCCCAGTGCTTGTATAAATCAATCAATCAATAAATCTCTAAAAAAAAAAAAAAAAAAAAAAAAAAAACCAAAAAAAAAAACCAAAAAAAAAAAAAGAAAAAAGAAAAAGAAGTGAAACAATTCTGGCTCCAGAGCCCATGTTCTTAACCACTAGGCAGAATGTTACCTATCTCCTTTAGGGTTTCTGTATCAAGAAAGAATGGGGAAAACAAGTAAAGGTGGGAAATATGTAGCATACAAAATGCCAAAAAAACAGCTGTGAGTGTTTTTTTTTTTAATTTTTTTTTTTAATAGAGGCATGTTTTATTTATTTGTTTGTTTGTTTTGTTTATACATGCACTGGGTACAGTCAGAAGCGCGGGAGGGTGAGAGAATTCACCAGAGCCAGAGCGGGGAGCAGAGCAGGCAGAAGGACCGAAGTACACTGCTGAGGGGAGCAGCGGGCTGCAGGAGAGGTCTGCGCGCCATATGGGACCCTCCTCCGGTGGCGGGGAGCAGCCAGGGATCGAACCAGCGCCGCAGAGGCTGCGGGCAGCTTCGCAACCCAGCGCTCAACCGCTGTGCCACCGGGGAGGCCCAGCTGTGAGTGTTTTAAAAAGTAAAATGGTGAAGTGAAACACAGTCATTACAGAAACTCTCAAACGATGGTGAGGGAAAAGTGAAAAATTACTCTTCCATGTATGGAACTAAAATATAAAATCACTCATCATTTGTGGAATTTACAAGTTCATTCAGCATCCTCATAAACACCAAATTGACATATATATTTTTCCCTTTTCAGACAATTCTTTCCTTCAATAAACACAAATTCACAAAAACAATTGGAAACTGTTATTACTAACTTGCTGTGAACCTGAACAACCCAAAGATAAGTCATTATGTTAGCATGTTAAAACTTCCTGAAAGTTAACACTCCTGGGCCTCCCTGGTGGTACAAGGGGTTTCAGCACTATCAAGCTATCGGCCTGAGTTTGATCCCCAGTCAGGGAGCTAACCCATATATGGCACAGCTGACCTCCCCTGTCTCACCCACTGCTCCCCTCAGTAGTGTATTTCAGTAGACCCGCCTCTTCTGCTCCCCACTCTGTCTCTGGTGAATCTTCTCACTCCCCATACCTCTAGCCTAGACCCCAGTTCTTGTATGCATAAATAAAAATATAAACCTAAAAAAAAAAAAAAGCTAACACTCCTGATAGTATTGAGAGTAGTAATGTCCATGTGATCTATTTCTCTCTATAAAGTTATTTCACAAAACTACAAACAACTCTTCTGTTAGGCATAAAAATATCTTGTTTTTCATAAATATCAAAGCAGGCTAAAATGTGATTTGTTCAGGTATTACATGACATTAAGATACTAATCAAATATACAATGGAATCTTTAATATTAAATAATAAAAAGTATATAACTTTTAAAAAGGTAGTTTTAATAAAATACTGTATTTTTTAAAAGTCAATTACAGAATACCTTTATATTTTAATTAAAAGTAGAGCTACTAAGGCAAGAGTCTTATCTCTATAAAGCAATGTTACCTCCAGTGTCCACAGATTCCCTGTATCTGGCATAAGCGGTCACATCATCACTGTCAGAGCTGTTTTGATCATCATCTTCAGTATTTTCTAAAAGAAAATAAGTAATATTTTAGTATAGTCTTTGTTCTAATGCTCTAAAGACCTGGGTAAAAACCAAACCAAGTGATTCAATATTAAAGAGAAGACTTTTTAATAATCAGATATAGAATTGCTATTTATTATAATTATTCTGAATCACAAAATTCTAAATAAGCTAAAATTGAGCTCATTTATGTTCTCTGAGGCACATAATTATATCCCAAACAAATATTCAGAGTAATATGTACAAATTGTATTTTGAGGCTTTAATGGAGAGTCAAAAAGTAAACAAATCAGGGGCCTCCCTGGTGTGTGTGTGTTTACAAGGTGGGTGGGCATATGTAAGCAAACATTCAGCATGTAGGTGACTAATCTGAGATTACAGTGGGATGAAAAGTGGACTAAATTTTACTGTACTATTCAAACAGAGTGATAATGAGATTTTGGAAAGTGATGCTTTGTTAGTTTACACTTTAATTTCTTTATTTTATATATATTTTACACCATTCTTCCTTTTTGTACAATGCATGCTTTCTCCTCTCAGGTGTAGTCTCTGTAAAATTCCTACCACCAATATACCCGTGCACCATCACCATAGTCCCTTCTGCTCTTTGCTTCCCTGATTTGACCTCTCTCCCTTTCCCTCCCCTGCAGCGTGTCTCTGATTAATAGTTGCCTGTTAATTTTGCTTTCTAATTTATTATAATTATTTTTTTCCTGGTCCCTTATTTGGAAAGTGATTATTTTAATACCATAATCAAAGACCAGCAGATACCAGAAACTGAAAATATTAACTGTGCTTAAAATTATTAACTCAGGGACTCTGTGGTGGTGCAAGGGGTTATATAACCTATGAAGCTATCTATAGCCACTGCAGCACAAATTTGATCCCCGGCCAGGAAGCTACCCACAATGGCGCAGACTTCTCCTGACTCACCCGCTGCTCCCCTCAGCAGTGTATTTCAGTCAATCAGCCTGTTCTGTTCTCCACTCTGTCTCTAGTGAATCCTCTCACCCCCCACCTCTGGCCTGTACCCCAGTTCTTGTTTGCATAAATAAATCTTTAAAAAAATAGAATTATTAACTCAGACAAAAGATGCTTAAATGAACACCAAGGCTATCATCACTCATTCTGTCCTTTTTTAGCTGCCAAATTAACAGTTAGGCATCATTTTCCTGAAGAAAAAGATTACCTATCAAAATTGCTTCTAAAATTTTTAAAAAAGAATAGAACATACTGCATGATTTTTTTCTTAAAGATTTATTTATTTATTTATACAAGCACTGGGAACAGTCAGAAGAGCGGGAGGGTGAGAGAATTCACCAGAGCCAGTGCGGGGAGAAGAACAGGCAGACAGACGGAGGACACTGCTAAGGGGAGCAGCGGGCACAGCAGGAGAGGTCTACAAGCCATGTGGGACCCTCGCCAGTGGCCGGGGATCGAACCGGCACTGCAGAGGCTGGCACTGCAGAGGCTGCGGGCAGCTTCGCAGCCCAGCGCTCAACCGCTGCGCCACCAGGGAGGCCCCATATTGCATGATATATTAAAAGTACCTTCAGAGAAACTGGTCTCCGTTTGGACACTGGTACTTTCTAGAAGAGAAAAATATATAAGCTGTATACACATCAAAAGCTAAAACTCAGGGATAAATAAGAGCATCTAATTTAGGAAAGTGAACATAAAGACACACAAACTAGTCTTCTTCTCCTTTTAAATTATTTTTAAGTCTACTTTCCTCTAGGCTATTTCAGAAATAAGTCTGATACAAACTAGAATCAGAAGTTGTTGTTTTTTTTCCCTCTAGCTATAGGTCTATTTGCAGGAAACATTAAAATCTATGATGACAAATACTACAGTACCCATAAGTTTCCTATATTCACTTCTCCTATTTGCCAGATTCCCTACACTCTTGAAAAGCCTACCACACCAGAACTGATGAGGCAGTTTTGAATGCACTGGTATACCCAAAAAGGAAGTAAGAAATAGACTTTCCTTCTAGTTCCAGCAAGTCTACATGTACACCACCATACCTCAGAGCCAGAGAATTTGGACAAAGATAAATGAGTAAAATGTATCAAACAAACTTTAAATGAGGTATTTTTAAAGAGGTTTTCTAAAAAAAAAAAAAGTTTTTTAATAAAGGAAGATATGCCTACATGCAGACATTGCACAACTGGGCTAAAAAATTGTTGAGTACTTTTCTGAGAAGTAGCATGAGTCAGACTTGGTCCACAAAGCTGAAATGTTCCCTTTTCAGCTTATTCCTCTATTGATTTTAATCACTATTTGCTTTTCAAACAGGGAAAATGGTATTGTGAAAGATAATGGAAAACACATTAAATGGTAAATTTGAACATTTTTTTCAAATCCGTTTAATTAATTGGTTTAATACTAGTCAAACTATAACTCAATAGTGGCCAAGTACAAACTACTTTGTGAAATACATTTGCCAACATTTTTGCTATAGAAATAAACTCCCCCTGAGAAAACTGCTGATAATACTTAGTGCTGTTTTAATCTAGGGAGACTGTCCTTTCATTTTCTAATTCTTGGAAAATCAATGCATTAGTTCTATACCTCTAAACTAAAAAATAAGTTCAAAAAGGTGTTGTTCCTTTAATGTGTTTCTTAAATACATTATTATAGTACATATGGTCCTCATTTAACATCACTGATAGGTTCTTGAAAACTGTGACTGTATGCAAAATAACATTGTTTTTTAGTTCAAGGTAGACTGGGATTCTTTTTTTTCCTCAAATGATGTTGAACAAATCCACATTATATGAGGACCTGTTGTATTTTTTTGTAGTTTATTCATCTATACAACTACTTACATAAAAATGGAGGCAAAAGATCTTTTTGAAAGGGTCAATGGCTATGCATTAGTTATTGCATTAAGATAGTCAAGTGTCACAAACATTTTCGTCAATGATGGACTACATCATTGTGTGTGACAGTGGTCCCGATAGGTTATACCATCTAACCTAGGTGGGTAGTTGGCTACACCATCTAGGTCTATGTAAGTACACTTCATGACATTCACATGATGAAGTTGCCTAAAGACACATTTCTCAGAACATATCCTTCATTAAACAACACATAACTAATAACCTGAAATATTTATTTTCATGGTGCTAGTTTTCAAAAAAATCTTCACATTTGTTTTTATCTGAGTCCCATGTCATAAGATAATGCTCTCAAAGGTAAGGCTCATAGAAATTAAATGACTTAGCTAAGATGTGAGGATTAACAAGTGATTTAAAAAAATACAGTATCTTCTGATTTGTAGTCTACCATGCTTCTACCATCGCATCAGTCTTGTCATTCTGTACAAAGAAGGTTGTTTTTTTTTTTTTTTTCCCCCTTAGAGCAGTTTAAGGTTAGCAAAACTGAGAAGGTAAATTTTCTATATTTGCACTACCTTCAAATGTGCATAACCTCCCCCATTAACAACATCCCCTACCACCAGAGTAGTACATTTGTTACAACTGACAAATCCACAATCACACATTATAATCATCCACAGACCACAATTTACACTGCAGTTTACATTTGATGTATATTCTAGGGTTTAGGCAAATGTATAATGACATGCATCCATCATTATGGTATCTTACTTTTTAATTCTCCCTGATCACTTGTTCATCCTATCCCCATGCCCAAACCCTTGGCAACTACCAACCTTTTTACTGTCTGCCATTTTCAGAATGTCATGTAGTAGGAATCATATGGTGCATAATATAAACTGGCTGCCTCCAGTTACCGCTACACACTTAAGCTTCCTCCAACTTTTTTTCATAGCTCATTTTTCAACTCTGAGTAACAGATCACTGTCTGGCTAATCCACAGTCTTTTTATCCATTCATCTACTAAGAACTACCTTGGTAGCTTCGAACTTTTGGCAATTTTGAAAAGCTCCTATAAATAGGTGGCAGGTTTTTGTGTGGACTTAAGTTTTCAACATTTTTGGGTAAATATCAAAGAGTGTGGTTGCTGGACTGTATGGTAAGGATGCTTAGTTTTGTAAGAAACTGTCAGGCCATCTTCGAAGTGGTTATACCAATGTCCACATCTCAGAATTCCTAGCAATAAATAAAAGGTTCCTGTTGGCTCCACATCCGTTCAGCCTTTAGTGTCAGTGCTCTGGATCTGGGTGTTCTACCAGGTGTGAAGTGGCATCTCATTGTTCTAAATAGTTCCCCAGTGACATAAGATATGGAGTATTTGTTCTTATGTTTACTTATTATCTGTATGTTTTCTCCGTTAAGGTGTCTGTTAAGTTCTTTGGGTTGTTTTCTTAATAGTTCTTTGTATAATTTGGACAGTAGTCCTTGTTTAGATGTCTTTTACAAGTAGTGTCTTTTTCTTCCTGTGTGTGGTTTGTCTTCTCATTCCTTGTCTTTTGCATAGCAGAAGTTTTTTATTTTAATGAAGGCCATCATATCAATTCTCTCTTTCATTGATTTTTGCCTTTGTATTGTATCTAAAAAGTCATGGCCATATCCAAGGTCATCTAGATTTTCTCCACTGTTATTTTCTAGGAGTTTTATGTTTTGCACTTAGGTTTGTGATTCATTTAGGCTAATTTTTGTAAAGAGTACAGTCTTTTCATGAGTGTATTTTAGCACCATTTGCTGAAAAGACTGCTTCATTTCATTGCATTGCTCCTTTGTCAAAGGTCAGTTGACTACATGTGGGTTAATTTCTGGGCTATTTTTTTTTAAAATCTATTTGCCTTTCTTTTTGCCAATACCACACTGTCTTGACTATCAGAGCTTTATATTAAGCCTTGTAAGTAAGTTTGTCAGTCTTCCCACATTGTTCTCCTTCAATACTGCTGGCTATTCTGGGTCTTTTGTTTGTCCCTACAAACTTTAAAATTAGTTTGTCAATATCCTCTGAACAACTTTCAGGATTTTAATTGGGGCTGCACTGAATCTATTAATTGAACTGGGAAGAAATGACATGTTGACAATATTGTGTCTTCTTATCCATGAATGTGGAGTATTTATTTACTAGTTCTACAATATTATTTATCAGTTTTGTAGTTTGTCTCATAGATCTCTTAGACTTATATCTAAGTAATTCACTTGGGTTAAAGCTAATGTAAATTCTATCATTTTGTTCATTGCTGATATACAAGAATATGACTGGCTTTTTTTGTATATTAATCTCGTATCTTATAATGTTGCTATAGTTCAACATAGATGACTACATCATCTGTGAACAGTTTTATTTCTTCCTGCCCATCTGTATATCTTTGACTTCCTTTTTGTGTTTATTAAGTTAGACCCTCCAGTAAAATGTTGAAAAGGAGACATCCTGACCTTGTACATGATACTAGTACAAAATCTTCTAGTTTTCTCATTATGTCATTAACTTGTAGGGCTTTTTATTGTCTTTATCAAACTGAGAAAGTTCCCTTCTAGTGCTAGTTTACTGAGAATTTTTATCTTGAGCAGATGTTGGATTTTATCAAATGCTTTTTCTGAATCAATACTATCATGAGATTTTTTTTGGTCTATTAATGAAATGAAGTATATTAATTTCAAAATGTTCAACCAGTCTACTTGATCATAATGATAATTTTTTGTACTTTTCTGGATTCAATATATTATACACCTTAAACTATAGGGTTTTGTTTTTTCTTGCAGTGTTTTTGTTTGGTTTTGGTATCAGGATAATTCTGGCATCATGGGATGAGTTAGTGAGAATTCCCTCTGTTTCTATCCTCTGAAAGAGATTGTACAGAATTGGCATAATTTCTTTCTTAAACATTGGTAGACTTCACCCACAACCTCACATTTGGTCTGGTGCTTTCTGTTTTAGAAGGGTTTTAATTATTGATTCAATTTATTTAAAGATATAGGCCTATTCAGATTGCTTCTTCTTACGGGAGTTTACACTGTGTTTCAAGGAATAGGTCAACTTAATTGAGGTTATCAAATTTATGGGCACAATGCTGTTTGTAGTATTCCTATATTAGCTTTTTAATTTCTATGAGACTGTAGTGATGTTCCCTTTCATTTCTGACATTAGCAATATCTGCTTGTCTGTTTTTCTTAGTTTTCCCTTCTTTTTTCTTACACTGTCTAGCAGCTTGATTTTTTTTTTATAAAGATTTATTTATTTATACATGCACTGGGGTACAAGACAGAGGCGCGGGAGGGTGAGAGAATTCACCAGAGAGAGCAGGGAGCAGAACAGACAGAAGGTCCAAAATACACTGCTGAGGGGAGCAGCAGGCGAGACTGGAAAGGTCTGCTGTGCCATGTGGGAATCTCCCTGGCCAGCCGGGAATTGAACCGGCACTGCAAAGGCTGCGGACAGCCTCACAGCGCTGCCCTTAACCCGCTGTGCCACCTGGGAGGCCCGGAACAGCTTGATCTTTAAGGATAATTTTGCAAGGTACAGAATTTTGTTTTTTTTCCCCTCCCTTAACATTTAAAATCTTTCTCTTCATCCTCTTCTTGTTCGCATGGGTCTGAGGAAATGCTGGGTGTAATTTTTATCTCTATTCCTTTATGGGTCAAGTATTTTCTTCTGCCTTCTTTGGGGATTTTTTTTTTTTTTTATTTTCAGTAGTTTGAAA